CTCCTCATACAGATCCAGTGTCTCATGCACCTCCAACTAAATTTTAAAAAATAGAACATAAAAATAAAGATAAAGAAATCATCAAAAATCGTTAAGACTTAAAAAAGAATTTCGGATATCACTTGCTAATGATTCCAATAAAAAATGTTTAGGATCAAATAATACCTATTGGTCAAAAAATGTATCTAGAAGGGTGACCTTCGGGAATTTCCAGTGAACCAGCCGTGGTGGATGTCTCACCGAGGTACGTGTTCCACATGTACGACCTAATTCAGGGATTGCCTCGTAGCACCATACTAGAAACGCCCAGGGAAATCCGTAGATATGATATTCATATTATTGTACTTGGGCGTCTGCAAGTAGTCGAACTGGTACTGAAACGAGTAACTCCCCAATGGGAATTTCTCCCACATCTGGTCTTCCTCAAGCAAAGCCCACCAGCAGTTATCAATATACTGAGGCTTGCTGTCGTCATGAGGAATGATAAAGTACATCAGCATTAGCATCTTCGCACTCTCACTATCACATCCCAAGAGGTACGGAACTGCCCCACCTTGAAGTCACCATGCAACTTCTGCATAGTGATCTGCTTGCCTTTATATTTCTCAATGAAAATTGACGATGGAGGAGGAGGAGGCGCTGAGTTCGGGTCAAACACAGACGATCCAAAAGCAAGCCCGGTCACTACAGCATACTCATGGGCGGAGAATCGGGTAAAATGGCTACCAATACGGAACCACATTTCGTTCGGCTTCTGACCGACATGAGTCACCTTGCGCGAAAGAACCCCATGCATTGCCTTTGCAGAGACATTAGCATTATCATCAAACTGGAGGAACGAACCAAAGACCGAGCCATGGAAAGCAGTCAAGGCCCCTTCAACGTTGGCCAACTCGTTATTGATATCAGAACATATCAACTGCCGGCTGTAAATGTTGATCTTCAGCCCTTTATATTTACCGATCGATTCCTTTCTCTTGTACAACCAATCCTAAACAATCGCATTGTTGTTGTTGTTCTTGTTGTTAATTATTCAAATTAAATTACTTATACATTATTAAATAAAAACAAATATTTCTTAACTATTAAAGCATGTGGAATTAAATAACTTAAATTAAATAACTGCAACAAATGGAAGTTACCTCTCCAGAAGAGATGGCCTCCAGACCCGTGCCTTCAGCCGCTGAGTTGCCGCCCGCCATACCCGTTACGGCAGCCGTTGAGTCGCAGGCCGCAATAGCCATTAAGCCACCCGCTTGGTCGGCCGCCACTTGAATAGCTAGATTCGTCAATTCTTCATCATCTCTTAAGAAGTCCATGATGTCGACGTCGTTCATAATTTTTGGTTCTTTTTTTTCTTTTTAAATTTCTAACCGTTCTTTTGCTTCCAAATATGCGAATTAATGTCGCAAGATGGAATCCCAATTTTTCGCCCCTCTTCTTTTTTTATTTCTTCTCTGGAGAGGTGCAACTTTCAAAGTAGCGTATATGAGACGTTTCGCTTTTTTTTTTTTAAAAAAAATAAATAATATACTATATGACAAAATATGCGAAAAAACAGCAGTCGAGTAATATTCTCGTAACAAGCGCCATACTTCCGCAATCGATGCATTTTTAATAAACAAATAAATATAATGGTTTAGTTTCTGTATCCCTTTCGCAGTCTAATACCCTGCGGTAGACCTGCGAACAAACGCATATCCGTCACGAGACGGTCGCATAAAGAATCGCATTTATAAGACCATTTCGAGCACAAAATATTTTAATAATTGTTTAATAATAATTTCTTTAGACAAAAAGGGGTCTGCGAATATCCTGCGGTTGACCTGCGAATGAATTATGCGACGTATGTTTGCGCAATTATGTGTGTCGCAGAATAGAAAATTTCCAAAAACAATTTTTGTTTAAATAAATTCTTCGATTATACTACGAATGCTGTGCGGTTTGTATGCGAAATTGTTTCGACTAATTGTCGCAGGTTCGTTTGCCTAAACTGTTTATTTTTTTTTTCCGGAACGATAGGTTAGCCTAAACTGTTTAGAATTTTTCAAAAATTAAATTCTACAAAAAAAAACTTAGTATGCCCAACTAGGCGAATAATATGCGACGTTTGTATATCGCAGAATAGAAAATTTCCAACAACAAATTTTTTAAAAAAATTATTCTCCGATTATACTACGAGTGTTATGCGTTTGTTGTGCGGAATATTTTCGACTAATAGTATCAAGTTCATTCGCCTAAACAAGAATTTTCAAAAAATTAAATTCTACAAAAAAAACTTATTATGCACCAAATCGGGGAATAATATGAGACGTTTGTATGTCACAATTTTGTGTGCCGCAGAATAGAAAATTTCCAAAAAAATTATTCGATTAAGCTACGAATGTTGTGCTGTTGGTATGCGAAAGTTTTTGGTCTAATCGTCAAAGGTTCATTAGTCTAAACTGTTTAGAATTTTCCAAAAATTAAATTCTAAAAAAAACAATTATTATGCATCAACTCAGCGAATAATATGCGACGTTTATTTGTCGCAATTATGTGTGTCGCAAAATAGAAAATTTCCAAAACAATTTTTATTTAAAAAATTATTCGATTATACTACGAATGTTGTGCGGTTGGCATGCAAAATTGTTTCGACTAATTGTCGCAGGTTCATTAGCCTAAACTGTTTAGAGTTTTGCAAAAATTAAAATCTACAAAAAATATTATGCACCAACTAGGCGAGTAATATGCGACGTTTGTATTTCGCAGAATAAAAGATCGAACAGAAATCCCTACACTACTGCTTTTGCAGTAGCTTCAACCCCAGACGATTACAAAGGTGAAGAACAAAAAAATCGAAGGACGATCCTAACAAAAGCTAGGACGAGGGAGCCGACGAGCTACCACAACAGCCAAACTCCAGAAAGAGGAGCCGTAAGCCGAGCTTGTTTGTGGAGTTCCAGGTAGAACTCCAGCATGAGGTCGGCCCCGACCACCACAAGTGCGATGACCCGCTCTCAACCGATAGGCTCAGACGGGTTCCGGGAAGAGATCCCCGCCGACCAACCACCTTCTTTTGTCATGAAGACCTGGCCGACCACTACCTCGAGAGGATTGAGGCCAGCATTGCCTCTGACAGAGGGCCGGCTGTTACGCCCCGACCGCCGACGCGCGCCGTCCGACCTTCAACCTTCCCACAGTTGATCCAGCAATACCCGGGCCCGGAGGTTTGATCTTCATCGTCGCTGTCTCGGAATATATGTTTCCTCCAGGGGCCACGTTAATAAAGTTGGATAGCGGAATTTCCGCTCATTGAATTTTTTCCTTCGACAAATTCGGAAGGTTAGGAGTTCTCAATTCGGACACAGTAATCTTAAAGATTTGCCTCACAGGTCGAAAGAAAGAATTTTTATAATTCTGGTTTATCTCCGGCGAACTGGTTCTCATATATAAGAGAAGAAAAAAACGGAGGGCCATTACCAAAGAGTTCTGGGGGTCGGAGGGGAAGAAAGAGAAGGGGCATGATAAGAATCGAAGATTACACGCTTTATGTAGATGGAGGAAACGACGTTTCGAAAAGCGAAAAAGACGCCTCCAAATCGGCCATGGAAGCTTTGGCAGTTTACCATGGCGTGATGTTATAGTTGTCATGCTAAAGTCGTTGATAGCTACTTCGCTTGACGAGCTAAGTAGAAAGACTTTGTTTTTTCATCCACAACTGATGGAACAAACGACTAGTTCGGAAAGGCTTTTACTCTTTCAGCGGTTAGGTTCCCGGCTTGTGCCCCTAGCTAGTAGGTAGGTGTTTGTACTTTTGTCTTGTCAGCTTTCTTTTAGTGAATCACACTCAACTAAGAGGAAAGTCGCTTGATATTGGTTCAAACCTTATTATAGAAGGGAATAGATTCATTTATTTTACACAATTCTTCTGCTTTTTTATCTTTTAATTAGTAAGGAGTCAAATGCATCGAGAAATTTGGTTTTTTTCATTGACCAAGGAACTGCTCGATCCATTCACGAAGAAAGTCAAAGGTACTAGGAGGAGGTCGAACGAAGAAAACATTTGTCTTCCAGGAAGAAAAGTTTGAAGGAAGGTCTTCTAGGAAATTGGCATGGTTTCGAGCTATGAGGTAGAAGGTCTATTTTGCATTTGTAAGTTCTAGTAGTAGAAAAAGAACTCGAGATCCAGAGCTCAGAGACAACAATTGCTCAAAAATAGAATTAGGGAAGAAGTGGTTTAGGGGAAGCTGATAGATCTGGCTTAACTAGATCATGTCATCCTGGAGGTGGATTTAAGGCTGCTATAGACTTGGTCCAAGAAATAGGTGTAGCAGCCCAAGGGGTGTTAGTCGAAATTATCACCAAACTTGGGCGCTCGAAAGTCCCAGGACCAGGGATCATTTTGATGACTAAAATAGGTTATTTGTTCGTGATCAAAGAAAGCGAAGGGATTGGGTTTGATGAGATTTACTACGTCTACTGCGACCCTCTTACCTTTAACTACTGATATTTGTTCTCTTCATCTATCTAGCTCGACGCGCCTAATATAGAACCCCTCGGGCAGAGAAGGATGCTCAACCTCCTGAGAGTAGGTGTCTACTACGATTTCTAGCTCGTCCCAAGGGACCTCTCCCTCGTGTCCATCTACTAAACATCAAGGTGATCTAATGGATAAGTTCTATGTATTAGAAGTCAGAATAATGGCCACAGAAGGGTCTGAGTCAGAAAAAAAAAATGGTGTTTTGGTTCACGCTAATCGACAACGAAGTAGCAGGATGGCCAAAATCAAACATATTCGCCAAAAAATATACGATGAAGAAAAGAAAAATTGAAACAAATGAAGATAACTGAAATAGTATGAATAAATTAAGAGCTCAAATTCGAGGATAGACAATGAAAAGCACTTACTTACCCATGATAATTGACCGAAAAAAGAAAGTGTATTCGCTGGAATTCGTGGATGCAATTTTTTGAAAAGCTTGATTGGGATAGTGTTGCAGTCGGTTTAGTAAGGGTAAATGGCGAAATGGGCGAATGAAGAAGACAATATGATTTTATATGTGGACGAAAGGACAATTAAAGCCACGTATTGTGAGGTCCGTCGATCTGTGAAGGGATCAACGACCCTTGTGTGCAGGGTTTTTGAAGCGTTATTGATACTCACACGACCGACGTACAGTAAATAATCGTATTTAAGATGAAAAAACAGTAGTGACTAATGAGGTGTATTTAATAGGAAGAGAAATAAAGTGGAAAACGGAATCACAGTATTATGGACCAAGCCTAGGTAGCTCGTTCTATAATAAGGGGCAAGATTATATAACACTCATTACAACTCGGTAGACTGGTTAGAGTGGCTAACTTTGGCTACCGGTTTAGGGCAACCTTAGCTCGGTGTCAAGGTCTGACCTCGTCAAGGAGCTTGGTGTACGGGTCAACTCAGAGAGCTCAACTAGATCGGGGGACTACAACGACCTAAAGGCGGGGTCATCTGAGGTCGTGTATTAGCTTAGTAAAGAATATGGTAGAAGAGTCATGAGGTCGGTATGAAAACCAAGGATGTAAGAAGTCATGGTAGAAAAGGAAACAAAATTCTGTTAAGTTAAGATAGTAAGTCTACCTCGCTGAGATATAGGATATCTTGAAGACATGTCATATTAGGAAACGAGGTACGAAGATATTTATTTCCTAGTAATGAGGTGACGAGAATAATAAGACAACTTCCTTATAAAAGGAGGTTCTCGAGTTCTTTTACAATTTCGGGTAATACATCTTTGAGAAATGCTATAGGTATATAATAATATACATAGGGGTATACATTAACACTCACATTGAGTGGGACCCACCAAAAATAAAAAATTAAGTGGACCCCACTCAATGTGAATGTTATGTATACCTCTATGTAGAGTTATTATGTACTTGTAGCATTTTTCTACATCTTTAATACATCCCAGTTTACAGTTTACGAGCGAGATCTCTAACTTGAGCGTTATAAGTTTTTTCTCCCAGCTCCCTCTCAACATATGTTGCAGATTATCGAGCTTGAGTTCAGAGGTGGTTCGCGATATCGCCGGTCCAGTCCCGTTTTGAAGAGAAATTACACCTCACGTCCAATTTTCCGACTTAGTGGGATCCACTTGCATATAAATGTATTCTTTATTCAAACTATAGAGGCTGCAATATAATTATCTTAGGAAAGTAATGAATAGTCAAGATAGGAGTTTGCCCGTGGTAGTTATTCATATATTTATAAATAAATAAATAGAAACATTCAAAGACAGACACTAGTGGCATGCATTTGGGACGAAGTCATGTAGCAGCTTCCAGGTTTTCAAAACATTAACAAAAAAATACAATCATGTCAGTTAATTATGTCACTGAGAACGTCATTTACATGCTCCAACAGCACTCATTCTAAATTTCTATGCAAGATGTTAAATGTAGGAACAAACATAATCCAGATTTATAACAGACAGTAAAGCATTTATATATGTATTCGGATTGGATCCAAAGTCTCATTATTTAAAATGGAAATGCGAGGCTAAATGCTACCCATTAAATAGGGAACAAAATGTGTGTTTATTTAATTTTTTTATTTTTATTTTTCAATTATTTAGTTATTAATTTGACCATTTGACCCTTGATCATTGACCGTTAACCAATGACCGCTGAGTTGATCGTTTACTTTCAGCGTTGAACGTAAACCATAATATGCATTATGTGTAAATTAAATATGCTTGTGTCTGAAGTAAATATATATACTCCAAATATGCAGTTGATATGAACTAAATATATATGCTAAATATGCATTCTTTTATGAACTAAATATGCATTTTGATGTAGTAAAAATGCACTCGTAATATGCAGTTGATATTAACTAAATACGCATCTGGTATGAAATTGAAACTAGAAGTGAAATAATAATATTAACTAAGTATGCATTGTTGATCATGAACTAAATATGAAGTCAAAATATGCTATTGACATCAATATTATAGAGCATTCTACTATCTTTATATTCTCAACTAAGAAAGCATTATGTATGAACTAAAATAATACGTATTTGTATTACCTCAATATGCACCGTGTAGTAAATATATACTCGAAATAAGTTGATATGAACTATGTATGTTAAATATGCATTTTTTGTAAAGCAAATATGCATTTTTGTATGAACTAAATGTGCAGTCAAAATATGAATGAACTAAATATGCACTATTGATGAACTTCGATTTGATATCTATATTATACGTACAAAATAAATAAATAATTTTATTTATCTTTATTATTCAAAATTAAATTACCTATTAATATTAATTCGAAAGAATAAAGGTATTTAAATTAACTTAAGTACAAAGTAGTTATCTTATATATATATTCAAAAAATTATAATATAAGATTGTAAGTTGTGCAAGTGATCGTGTCATTTTAAATATAAATAATAATATTTTTTTTTTCAAAAAAATATTTAAAAATTAAAACAAATTTTGTTGTTATTATTATTTAATTTTAAAAATAATTTTCTTAACAAGTCAATTTATAGTACACGAGTATTGTACTAGTCGATTAATATAAGTCAATAATCTACACGAATCAATGCCAAGAATTGAGTCTCATGTCTCCTTCTAAGGAAGGGCCATGTTGAATCCACCCAATCCTATATATATTATTGTCTAGTTAATTATGTCACTGAGAACGTCATAGCAGCTACATTACTCGTCAGTTATAACTTATAACAGGCCCTACCATTTTTCTTTATATGGCTATCTAAATGCATGAATCAACAAAAGCAAAACAAATCCATACATTGGGCATTTATAGTATTGAATTTGCTTTTGGTCTTTGGTTTATTTTGTCTTATGCCGTATTTATTTAATAATTTGAAAGAACTTTTCAAATATATATATATATATATATATATATATATATAGGATGTGGTTCAAATGAGAACCAAGTCCTAGCGTGAGAACCGTGAGAACCGCTATTTTTGATTGTATGTAGTGCTATGATTGATTGTATTTAGTGCTATTTTTAATCAGGATGTATTTTATTAAAAATAGCAACACAATTTCTATTAGCATGTGTAAAAATTATAGCATAATCTAATATAAAAAATAGCATCATACACAATTAAAAATAGCATCAACTACGGTTCTCACGGTTCTCACACCAGAACTAGTTTTTATTTGAATCAACCCATATATATATATATAATTACTAGCTGATGCATTTAATAAAACATTTAATAAAACCTAGTGATACGGCATGATATAGACGTAAGTAGCGGTTCATGAAAGACCGATTGTGATCCGAGCTAGGCGGAGGCGATCACCTAGACAGAGGGGCATCTTAGCAGCTAGGCGCTTCGGTACCTAGGTAGCTAGGCACTTCGGCATCTAGGCAGCTAGGCGCTTCGGCACCTGGGCAGCTAGGCACCTCGGCACCTAGGCAGCTCGGCCGCAGAGTTCTGCCGAGAGGACCAGAGCCTGGGGGTGGCTTCGTGGCCAAGTCACAAGGAGGTTTGGAGCGATAGGGACTCTGAAATTTTGGATATCTTTGACTTAGTTTAGGATAGACACAAGGAAGACTCCTAGACCAACAAGAATTCTTCGACTTGCGCATGACCTCACTTATAAAAGGGAACAGGTTCATTCGTTTTACACAACACACATACACATACTATCTCGTTACTCTGCCGTTTTCTCTCCGAAACACCACCACTGACTTGAGCGTCGGAGTGTCCACGCCGGGACCACCCCCGGCGTGTTTTGCAGGTACCGGTGATCGAGAAGGTTTAATTCGGTTCAAGAGGAGCGGTCGAGCGGTTCAGGTATTTGTTGTATAACAAATTGGCGCCGTCTGTGGGGAGAACTCAGTCTTCTACCAGAGTATCATAGGCTGTTTTTTCTCACCAAAGAAGAAGGAAGGTAACGAGGATCATGGCAGGAAATAACTTGAAGAAAAACTTAACGAAGGATATGGATGAGGCGTGGACGGAGAGGGCGCTTGGAACAGGGCCGCCGCCCGGGTGGTCGCCGTCGCCTACTCCCCCCAAGGAGACGTTGACCCCGACACCGCTACCAGGAGCTCAAGGGCGTTCGGCGAACCCAGGGGAATCGGGTGGCTTGACCAACAAGGAAAAGGAACTCGGCGGTGCAACGAGTGGAGGAATCGGTCAGGTCGGCCAGGTCCCTGATGGGAACAAGGGTCAGGTGACCCCGCTGAACAATCAACAAATGGTCTTGGCAGGAGAGACCACCCAACTGAACGATCAACAGATGGTCCTAGCAGGAGGAACTAACCCCCCAGGCGACTCCTCGACGGCAAGAGAAGAACAAACGATACATATGACAAGGGTGGAACTGGACAGGATCATACCGAACACAATAGGACGAGCTCAAGAGGTTGATCGACGAGCTAATGAATCGCTAAGGCAGCCTATGCATCAGCAGTTGTCCTTGCACCCTCACCTGACGCACCAGCGCGAAAGGGGGGATGAGGATGGCGATAGGTCGGCGACATCTCGACCCCTGGTAGTACAACAGGAGGGGTTAACTTTGGAGAGGTTGGCAGCTCAGATGCAGGAGCTCCAAGCTCGGGTACAAGGGAAAAGGGTGGTAGTGTCACGTGGACATCCGTTTGCAGAGGAAGTGTTGGGAGGAGATCTGCCAAGTAATTTCAGGGAACTGAGCTTATCCTATGATGGCTCGACAGACCCTGCTCGGCACCTAAGGTTGTTTGACAATATAGCCGTCTTGCATCGTTATAGTGACGCAGTCAGCTGCCGGGCCTTCCTGACCACTTTAAAGGGCTCAGCACAGGATTGGTTCCACCAGCTGCCAGCAGGATCCATCGATAATTTTGAGAAGTTCAGCTCCTTGTTTCTGAATCAATTTGCAAGCGCTAGGAAGCATGAGAAGACATACCTCTCGCTGATTAATATGCAGCAGAGGGAAGGTGAAACTTTGCGACAGTACGTGGCTCGGTATACTAAAGAATGCGTGGAAGTTCCTAGGGCCTCAGAGGAGGTAAAGGCCGGAGGGCTTACGCGGGGTCTAAGAGCAGGAAAGTTAAGGGACTCCTTGGCAAAGCGGCCGGCAAGGTCGTTTGACGAGCTCTTGGAGAGGTGTAGCAAGTATGTGAATATAGAAGAATCAGAGGCAGACTTCATTCGGAATGATAAGAGAAAGTCTAAGCAGGTAGATGAGAGGCCTCGACAGGGTGATCGACGAGCTGCCCCTAAGGAGGCTAGGGTCGAGGATAGGTTCAACGGTCCGAGGTACGAGCATTACAAACCACTTAATGCACCACAACAGAAGATACTAGAGATGATGGAAAAACGGGGGGAAGATAAGCTACTCGCACAGCCAAAGCCTCTACCCCCGCCGCGAAAATTTTCGGCATCAAAGGATAGTTATTGTCGGTACCACCGGGATTACAGCCACTCTACCAATTTTTGCCGAGAATTGAAGGATGAGATTGAGCGGCTCATCCGGGCCGGTCATTTAAAGGAGTTCGTGATCAAGGATAGAGAGCGCCAAGAAGATCACCATGAAGGGCGTGAATCAGGTGACAAGCGGAGGAGGACTGATGAGCACCCTGATAGACCGGTTAAGAAGGGCATAATACACATGATCGCGGGGGGTCCTACGGATGGAGATTCGCATAGGGAGAGGAAGAGGACCTACAGGGGAAAGGGTGTTTTCAGCGAGGTGGCCGAGGTGCAGGTACAGAGGAGCTCGACCACTCTAGAGTTTGGAGCTGACGATGTGCAGGGGCTTGTTGTCCCACATAATGACGCTTTGGTCATCACTGCGGAGGTGGCCAGTTACGATGTGCAGAGGGTGCTCATAGACACGGGGAGCTCGGCGGACATCATTTTTTTGAAGTGCTTACAACAGATGGAGTTAGACGTGAAGGTCGAGCCGGTCCACACTGCTCTCTATGAATTTAGCGGCAGCGAGGTTCGCCCCATTGGCGAAGTCAGCTTAACTGTGGCATTGGGAAGGTCGCCTCTGAGGAAGGTGAAGATGGTCCGTTTCTTGGTTGTGGATGCTAGCTCGGCCTACAACATCATACTGGGGCGACCTAGCTTGAATTTATTCCAGGCAGCCATTTCCACTTGTTGCATGAAAATCAAGTTCCCCGTAGGGAATGAGGTCGGCGAGGTGACTGGAGACCAGCTGCAGTCTCGACTGTGTTATGAGGTCACATTGAAGACAGCTGAGGCGCAGAATAAGAGAAGGAGGGATGATTTCCCTGAGTGCTCCCACCAGGAGAAGAAACAAGAATTGGGGATGAGCTCCCAGGACGAGTTGATGGAGGTTGAATTGATAGAAGGGAGCCCTGCGACGACCAAGGTGGGTCGGCATCTGGCGGTCGGCATTCAAGGCGCGTTGATTGCATTGTTGAGAGAGTTTGTGGATGTGTTTGCCTTTTCGGCCGACGACCTCACCGGCATCAGCCCCAGGGTAGCAGAGCACAGGTTGAACATCGACCCAACCGTGAGACTAGTGAAGCAGAAGAGAAGGCATTTTGGCGCTGAGTTAGATGTGGTCATTGAAGCTGAGGTGGAGAAGCTTTTGAAGGAGGGGCATATACGATCTATCCAATTCCCGGAGTGGCTGTCCAACTCAGTTATGGTGAAGAAGGGAGAAGGAAAGTGGAGGATGTGCATAGACTTTAGGGATCTCAACAAAGCTTGCCCTAAAGACCATTACCCCCTACCACGTATTGACCAGCTCGTCGACTCTACAGCCGGGTGCGAGTTGTTGAGCATGATGGATGCCTCTCAGGGGTATCACCAGATTCCTCTTGCCGAGGAGGACCAGAAGAGGGTCAGCTTTGTGACATCCAAGGGCACTTATTGCTACGTCGTCATGCCTTTTGGATTGAAGAATGCGGGAGCCACATATCAACGGTTGGTAGATAAAATGTTCAAAGGGCGGATAGGTCGAAATATGGAGGTCTATGTTGATGACATGTTGGTAAAGAGTAGGAAGGCGGGTGACCATGTGGCAGACTTGCGCGAGACCTTTGATACTTTGCGACGGTATGGCATGAAGCTCAACCCGACCAAGTGTAAGTTCGGGGTAAGGTCGGGAAAATTTCTAGGTTACCTGGTGACAGAGAAGGGAATTGAAGTCAACCCAGAGAAGGTACGAGCGGTCATGGAGATGCAGGCACCAAGGAACTTGAGGGAGGTGCAGATCCTCACCGGACGCCTAGCAGGGTTAAGCAGGTTCATAGCTCAATCAGCGGAAAAAAGTTTTCCGTTCTTTAGGGCTTTGAAGAAGGGATCTCGTTTTGAGTGGACGCCGCAAGCACAACATGCATTCGAGAGGTTGAAAGAGTTTCTGACTGAACTCCCTTTACTTAAAAAACCGGATCCAGGTGACACATTAGTCGTTTATCTATCAGTGGGACACGAAGCCATTAGTTCGGTGCTGATAAAGGAGGAGCAGGGACAACAGAAGCCAATATACTGTGCTAGTCGGGTGTTGCAAGGCGCCGATCATCGGTATTCCGACGTGGATAAGGCCACCCTGGCGCTTATCTCTACAGCTCAGAAGTTGCATCCCTATTTTCTGGCGCACAAGGTTATGGTCCGGACTAACTATCCGCTCAAAGACACCTTAGGTCGCCCTTCGGCCTCGGGGAGGATGGTGAAGTGGGCAGTTGAGTTAGGCGAATACAATGTCCACTTTGCGGTGCGAAAAGCTATTAAAGCCCAAGCGTTAGCTGACTTCATACAAGAGTGCACATTGGGGGGCGAGGCTGGACCTTGGATGGTGTATGTCTACGGCTCGTCGGCAGTAGGTGGAGCAGGTCTCGGCATCTTGGTGGTCACACCAGAAAAAGATCACTTGGAGTTTGCGGTTAAGCTGTCTTTCAGAGTGTCGAACAACGAGGCGGAGTATGAAGCTCTTATTAAGGGAATTCAGCTCGTCTTGAAGGAAGGAGCTCGGCAGGTGATCATTCACTCGGACTCTCAGCTCGTGGTTGAACAAATCAGGGGTGAGTATGAAGCTAAGGAGGAGAGCATGAAAAAGTATCTGGTAGAGGTCCATGCGATGTTAAAGGGGTTTGTGACTTGGGAGTTGATACAGATACCGAGGGGGGAAAACGGTAGGGCCGACCTACTTTCGAAAATGGCAGCTTCCCTTGTTGATTGCCGATCTCGCTCGGTCACACTGATGGATATGACTAGAAGCTCCTTAGACCAGGTGCTGGAGGTTGAGGAGCAAAAGGATTGGAGGTCGCCTCTAATACAATGGTTGCAAGAGCCAGCCGCGGAAAAGGATATCAGGGATGATCCGGTTGGACGACGAGTGTTGAGGTTCTACTTGCAGAATGAGATCCTATACAAACGATCATATATGGGGCCTCATCTTAGGTGTGTCTCCGAACAAGATGTGGAGTACGTGCTTAGGGAGGTGCACGAAGGGTGCTGCGGTGATCACATAAAGGCTAGGGCGTTGGTTGGGAAGGTATTGCGGGCTGGATATTTTTGGCCTACGATGAGGACCATGGCGCAGGATCTTGTGCGAAAATGTAAGAAGTGTCAGCAGCATGGTCCATTGATCCATCAGTCAGCGGAAGGCATGGTCCAAATCAGCTCGCCCTTGCCTTTTACTCAGTGGGGGATCGACATAGTTGGACCCTTGCCCCAGGCAACGGGCCAGCGAAAGTTCTTGATTGTGGCAGTCGATTACTTCTCCAAGTGGATTGAGGCCGAATCATTAGCGACGATCACAGAAGAAAGGGTGATAAAATTTCTTTTCAATAACATCTGCTGCCGATACGGCATTCCCCGAGTGCTCATATCCGATAATGGCACTCAGTTCAGGGGTCGGCGTACGATGAGTTGGTGCGAGGAGATGGGCATCAAACAGAAATTTGCTTCGGTAGCTCACTCCCAGGCAAATGGGCAGGCCGAGGTCGCTAATAGGTCAATTTTGAATGGATTGAAGGCTAGGTTGGAAAGGGCCTCAGGAGCCTGGGTTGATGAACTTGATTCGGTGCTTTGGTCATACCGGACGACGCCAAGGACCTCGACGGGCGAGACTCCCTTTAGTTTGGTTTATGGTATAGAGGCCGTCATCCCTGTTGAGGTTGGCCTCAACTCAGAGCGGGTCAGTACCTACACGGAAGAAGGGAATGTCGAGCTCCGGAGGGAGGCACTGGACTTGGTGGACGAATTGCGAGACCAGGCGGGGTTGAGGACAGCAATTTACAAGCAACGGATGAAGGCTGCCCATGACAAGTCGATTCGAGCTCGGCGTTTCCAAGTCGGGGACTTGGTTTGGCGTCAGGCGGATGCTTTGAAGCATGTGGGAAAGTTGGAGCCCAATTGGGAGGGACCCTATACTGTTGAAAGGGTATTCGCTGGAGGTGCCTACGAGCTTCGTGATGCAGAAGGGCGGCTGTTGCCACGACCCTGGAACATATCCCATTTGAAGAAATATTATGCCTAGCTTAAGAAGTGTTATTTACTTTGTTCGCATTTGCTTTCATTTGCTTTTGTTTTTTCTACAAGACCATTAATGAAGTTGTTTTTGAAGTTTTATCAGCTGTTCCTTCTTTTATATGGAATGTGTTAGGGCGAAAGCCTGTTAGTCTCACCTAAGCTCGCGGAGCTAGGCGACGACCTTCGTAGGGCGAAAGCCTGTTAGTCTCACCTAAGCTCGGGAGCTAGGCGACGACCTTCGTAGGGCGAAAGCCTGTTAGTCTCACCTAAGCTCGCGGAGCTAGGCGACGACCTTCGTAGGGCGAAAGCCTGTTAGTCTCACCTAAGCTCGCGGAGCTAGGCGACGACCTTCGTAGGGCGAAAGCCTGTTAGTCTCACCTAAGCTCGCGGAGCTAGGCGACGACCTTCGTAGGGCGAAAGCCTGTGAGTCTCACCTAAGCTCGCGGAGCTAGGCGACGACCTTCGTAGGGCGAAAGCCTGTTAGTCTCACCTAAGCTCGCGGAGCTAGGCGACGACCTTCGTAGGGCGAAAGTTTGTTAGTCCCTCCAGCGTTCGTGGAGCTAGGCGAGTCCTAAGAGACTTAGCAATAGTTGTGCTAGGTGCCAAAGCCCATTGTCACGATGCTAAGTATTTTATAGACTTGGTGAACGCAGCCCGTCCCGAATGGACGAATTATTTAAATATGCGACAATTGATACAAGTAATGACAAAGTGTAAAGCATCGCATTAAAGCATAGTGCCAGCAGACAGTGATTGTAGATAGTTCATAGAAGTTATAAAAGACAAAACAAGTTCAAGGTTACATGCCAAAATGAACGACTACACGAGTTCTAGGTTACATGCCCAAAATAACAGGAGTTCGTTCAACACATCTACTTCAACACAAAAGAAAATCATATAATTCTAACGAGGGGAGGCGTCATAGATCTTCAACACATCTTCCCCGACCTTTTTCGCAACAGTAGTCACGGCAACCTCCAAAGCCCCATCCCACCACGGATGGTCCGGGGGAAGGGACTTGTCGCCGTTCCATCCAGATGGGGTAGGGACGCCTTTCAGCAGCTCGCGCTCATCTACGGAGATGGTGAAGCCTTGGTTCTCCGCCTCGGCTTAGGTGCGAACGACTCCCTCATGGAAGTATTCACGGCAGGCTGTGCCCATTCGCCGGAGGAACGCCACAGAGTCATGGTAGTGTGACAGCAGCTCGGACCGGAAGCACTCGAGGAAGTGTTGTCCTATATCCGATGATAGAAAAGATCCCTGGCCATCCCTTTCTGCCTGAGCAACGCGCTCATCAACTTCCTCTCGAAGCTTTTTTAGCTTGGCGTCTTTGGCTTTGAGCTCGGCCTCTTTGGCTTGGAGCTCGGCTCGGAACTTCTGCGTTTTGGCCTTTTGACGATCGAGGGCCTTTTGAAGGTCGGTAGCTAGCTCCTTGCCCTTCTACACCTCGTCCTTGAGGGATTTCACCTCGTCATCCTCGTCCTCTAGCTGCTCGTCGAGGAGAGGAGCTATGCCAGCCAAGGCCTGTTTGGGACATGGGGTTAGATTTGCATAGATTTTACAATATATGTTTAATAAAGGTGTAAGTTAAGTGTGATAGAGTCATACCAGACCAAGGTTGTAGGTGATCGTCTCGGCTCGACTCTTCTTGGTAGGCCATTGCGTTGTCTCGCCCTTCGGAAAAATGTCGAGGAGGTAAGAGCTGGTTACCGATACGTCTTTGTTCCCGGCAAATCGAGTTGGCTTCTTGGCCCGCTGGGTGTCGGTGGTCACCTCGGTGCCTTGTGCCGATGTGGTCCCCTCTTTAGGGCAAGTCTTCTTACGCTTGAAGGACCTCGTCGGATGCTCTCGGTAGACCCGGCGCTCGGGGACCTGGTCCAGGGCAAGGTT